AATTGGGATTTTAATGGTCATTTTAAGTGTGAATACTTAATTGTGTGTTATGATTCAATTGTCATGTTGTATGTGGTCCATTTGAGGTGGTTAAAGTATCTCTGGGACTAATGGCAATTGGCATTATGAGTTGGATATCTTTGTGTGTGTTTTAAGGTGAAAACGAACCATTTTAGGTTTAGGTGTCCATCTTTTAAATCGATGATTGTTTGAATGTGAGATCAGTGCCATTAGCTAGAGGCTAAAAGAGTTTTGTATGGACACTTGAATCGCTCAAATCAAACGTTGGATGGTGAAACGGCACACTTTGGAAGTTCAAAAAGCCGTCATGACAGCAATCTACTGTCATGACAATAAGTGCGCACTGCGGCGCATGGTAGTTGCACCATGGCACAAGCAACCTTCGAGAGACTTGTCCCTTTATGCCATCCGTTGCGATGGATAGGCCAGATAATTGCAAAATGGCTTATTTCAACCCGTTTTAAAGTGATTTGATTTTCATGCTTTCGTATTTGTTCTAAATTAATTTTTAACCATGGTTTGAGCTCAAACAACATTTTAAAAAGGGTTTTCTTAAGATCCCAATATTTTAAACTAATTATCTTTTAAACCCTTGAGTTGTGATAACTTCTTTATGGGATTTTATCTATTCCTAATTATCACAATAGCGTGTATGAGTGTTGTCCTGATAATGTTGAGACGAACATTACATATTGAACATTAAGAATGTGTAAGGCTATCTTGTGATAGTCTATTGGATCAATTCCTAATTTCCAAAATCTTGTTTTAAGATTAAATTTAGAAAATATCTTGGCCTGTTTTAGATGGGCTAGTTGAGTATTAATCTTTAGAAGTGAAAATTTATCATCCTGTTAAAAAGTATCTAGATGCTTATACTTAATCACTAGTCTCTTTTTTGCTCATTGTTTTTCATATCTATTTTCAACATAGAAAGCTTGGCATGCCTAATCTAATCTGGCTAGTTTAATGAGCCCTTGCTTAAGTAAAGTTGTACATTCTTGTCTAACCAGCGCAAGATCTTTTGGATTCATTCCGAAATGAGATACTTTTGTAGGATTGATGTCTTTTTTCTTAAATGGGAGTTTGATGAAAAACTTCTAATTTTTCCATAAAGGAAATGGAGATATTGAAATTGATCATGATTTTCACATCAAAACTAGATAAGTTGATCCCGAATCTGTTCATAATTGGAAGGGCTCCCTGAATTTCTAGGATACTCAAGATATTAGTGTACTTACTAAAGAATTGTTTAGATTTTATTCCATTGGGAAGTATCTATAAGTTCTGTATCTGTCGATAAACATCAAAACCAACAAAGTTGTCTTTAACAAGTATATCACTTCAAAGGAACTTAGTCCAAATGACGCATGCAAGGAAGAATATTATATCAATTTTTCTCCTGGTAATAAGATCTATCCTGAAAGGCTTTCCATCAGCTATAGCAAAATACTCTTCATGTGAGACCCATACTTCTTTAGGAAGTATATAGGGCTTTATAACACTTCTACAAGAACCGATATTAATAAAAGTAATGGCTGAAATGGGCTTGTGATATTTTCTAGGTAAAACTTGGACTTTTATAGTGGGTTGAGGAAGCTCAGTATGATGAGGGTGGCTGCAAGAGTTTATTGGCCCAAAAGGAGGTGAATGATGAGGGTTTATTGGTCCAGAGAGGGACCTAATAGTATAAAGCAGTAGATATTGTTTTTCATTAGAGTCAAAGTCTTTCTCTAATATGGGAAGAATATATTGAGTATCTTCATCTCTTTCAAATTGTTCTTCAAGGACATATTTAATATCCTAATCATCATCAAGAGGAATAATAGTCTTAAAAGAATGGAGTAGTTTCATGTCTTTCTTGGATTTATTCAGTCATCTAAAATGCCCTTTTTGCTAACAAATAAAACATCTATATGACTTTTTCAACTTTAATTTGAGGTACTCCTTTTGAATGTAAAGGAGGTTTCTTCTTTTTACTAAAGGATTTAATCCTATACTTGTAGAAATGATTCTTCTTCTTGCAAGAACATTGATCATGGTGTTTCTTGCATTTAATCTTCAAATAATCTTATGTTTTTAGAATGGCTTGCCAATATCGCTGTTCAACAAGGCTTCTCGACGTGGATGGAACCATGTTCTTCAATCCATAAAACATAGTCATCTCAAAACATAGGATCTCATTGAGCCTTCCTCCTCCAAACAGCCAGGATATGTATGACATAGAGTCTAAATACTATCAACAATTTCTAAAGACAAAAGACTTTCTTATCCTTAGGCCATGATAAAGTAGAAAGTCTCTTAGCACTACTTTTCAAAAATCAAGAAAAGAGATGTGTCAATTTATCTTCTGACTAAGAAAGCATCTACAAACATATGAAATGATTGAAACCTTATCTTCAATCATGTGAAGAATTTGCTTTTGCTTTGATCATATCCACTTTTGTCAAAGTCACCTTTACTTTGAGTCATCTTTACTTTTGTCAAAAGTAACTTTTACTTTTTGACAAAATTATCCACTTTAATCAGATTAACTTTAGCAAAGCTATTTTTACTTTTAGTTATGTCTACTTTAACTTTAAAAAAGTATATAAATAATGGTGTGTTGTCTTGACTCTCCTCGCTTTGTTTATAAAAGGGAGCCTCAGTTGTGTTGTGAATCAGAACTTGTTCAAGACTCATTTGAGCAATAAAATTAGTGTGTTCTCTATCATTTTTCTCTTCTAAATCCTCTTCTATCCTGAAAGCTTGGTTCGACAATATCTTACTTTTGTCATACTAAAATTCAAGTATATTCTGCACTTGCTTCTTTGAGGAACTTGTGCATTAGAAAAAATCTAACCATGATCCATGAGTTTGATCCCATGTCATTATGCTTAGAAATCTATGAGTTGAAGTGTCAAGAGGTTGAGGAACCTATAATAGCCTATGTTTGCTTAAGTGGCATTAAAAAGCCTTACCTAAATCAATATTACTCCTAAGATACATATACATGAGGATCTTTGGATCTAGACGTGCATGAGACCGCCCCGATGGTAATAAGAAATTTCTACATATCTTGTAAGCATAAATACTTAATAGTAGCTAATGTGCAGATGAACTCTGTTGTTTCTCATACTAACTTGTTAAAATTATGATGAGTTGCATAAAAAAAAAAGTAGAAAGCAAAGAGAAACAAGTAGCACACTAAACCAAAATCTCTAAATGCGCAATGAGTAAAACTTCAAAAGAAGAATTTACACTATGGCTAAGTAGAGAGGTAAAAAAGTTATTAGTAGTCATTTTGCTTATACGATGTCAACCCATCATAGTTTTACTAACCTAGCATCAGCATTAATAGAGTTATACACACACACAAATAGGTTCAACTTTGTAAACCATAATAAAAACTAACATTGTAGACAAATAAAACCTAAGAGACTATGAGCAATGAAAATATATATGTATATATAAGAACTAATACAAAACATGTTGAAAGTATATGAACTAACAATTGTATTATTTTTCATGTGCCTGTGTAATATGTAAATATATAATTGTCCATGGGATGACTAGATGAGGGAGTGGGTGTTAATTTTGTAGCATGGGTGAACCAGATATTTTACATATGCACACACACACATATTAACTACAAGGAAGTAGATGCTTCAAGTTGAAGATATTTTTTGAATGTTGCCTAAAGTTAAATATGGCGACAAATTAAATAATCCATCAGGGGACATCATGTTACCTGTTCATAAATATAAATAAGGACGGGGAGGAGGTGTTTTGGGGTAACGTGGTCCCATCCCTATTTGAAATGTATATTGAAATGATGTGGGCAAATGCATTAGCTAGCTGTCGAAAGCAATGTTGTGAGAAAACTCCACTGGAGACACTGAAGGGTCAAGGTATTAATTTATTGGATCGTAATTAGTGACCGCATATTGTCATACATGACCAACTATGTCTTATTTGTTTATATCAATTCCATAGATACTAAACAGACACAATCACACGCACACTTCTAACCTGAAAGGCTAGCTTTTGTCTACATTACAAATTATCAATTATGTCAAATTAATTGTCCGACTAAACTAGTACAGGTTTTTATAATGAAGTCACTAATAAATCATCAAATATATATAACACTAAATAAAAAACAACCAAAAAATAAATAAAAAATAACATAATTTTGTTATTGATTAAAAAAAAACAGCCAATTAATAATGACTTTGTAGCATATTAACATGTTAGTCTCACTCCCAAGTGGAAGATCGTTAGTTCCAATTAAAAAGGGGAGAAGTCAGTTAAGTCTCAAACTTAAATTAATGGCAGTTAGGTTTTCACAAATTTTTTTAAAAAAATGGTTATAAATATCAATTCAAACAAATATAAATAAAAATTACTCTTATACATTAAAAGTTACATTTCATATTTAATACATATTTATAATTGAAAATTTTAAATTTATAATTATCTGATTGATATTTACAATTTATTTTATAAAAAATTTTGTTCACACCTAATTGTCATTAATTTAAATTTCCGGACCTAACTATCACTCTTAAAAAAAAGAGTTGGTTAGAACCGACTTTTTACAAGTTCTGCCAGTCCAGTCCAACTAGTTCACTTTTTGATCGGTTTTTATCAATTTCAAATTTCACATATGGTGTTGCAAAATCAAGTAAGACGACAACAACAACAACAAAAGAAAACAAAACTGGATATATGGTTCTGACCGATTTAATTCGATTTTAACAACAGAGGTGAAAAGAGAATAATACCCTTCTTAAAAATTGAAGCTTTTAACGTCTGATATGAACAAGAATTTGAAGACCTAAGCAATCAAGTGTGAAATCAGAGTGTGTGTGGGAGAGAGACTTAATTTTATTCATAAATCACTACTCCTACAATGTTTCATGATTAAAAACATGACGAGATCAACCAAACAGAGAAACCCCAAATATGCAGTTAAGTTTTTTTATATACCAAGAACTTACTTGATGAAGAATTGCAGAGTGAAGGCAATAATTCTTTAAACCATGCTAATTGAATTCTGAGAGAATCGTTGGTTTGATAATTGTGGATATCTTTCTCTTCAAAGAACCCTAGATCCATGGCCGTTGCTCCTATAACTGCAAAATTCACTCCTTCATCACTCTTCCAATTCTTCACACCGCCATTCTTGATTCCCAGATATGGCTTCAACAATGGAATCCCCATAGACTCGGCTACACAGCCCAAGAATCCAACAACAATTTAATTAATCAGCAACAGTAAAACAGGGAAATTAATGATTCCACTGCCAAAGCGGCCAGATCTTAGAGTAGTGATACCGATGAAATCGATGATAAGACGGCCATCGGAGCACCTTCCGGTGGGGTGGCCAAAGTAGGTTTTGCCGTAGGGAGGGCGGAAGCAATGGTGGAGCGGCGGTGGTTGGGAGCTGAAATACAAGTTTCCGGTATCGGCAATTGAGTCGCCGAAGTTGAAGATGGATGTGTAGGGGCTTCCGGCAGAACTAGAAGGGCTGAATGATAATAATATCGCCGCTATATACAGTACCATTGCTACAGTCCTTTTCTGTTGCAGAGTCCAAAGTGGAGAAGATGCCATCGGAAGTCTGTCTCACGCACGTTTTACTTTTTCTGTCTTCCACTAGCATCATTTAAATTTAGGATTTGGGAAGAATTTCAGCAAAAGGACCTTGCAGGGATTTAATTTCCAATCAGGACCATTGCTCCATTAGAATGTGAAAATACATGCAGGTTCAAGAAACTAAATTAAAACTTTTTGATAAAAAAATGACCAAAATGCCTTTATTTTTTTTAACAAGTACTTTTCATGTTTTAACAAGCCAACAAGATCAAATATGTAAAATATATTGACAATTAGTTCTCATAGCAAATAATTTACAAATTTGCATTACTGAAATGACAAGTTTATATGTTATGGTATTAACAAGTTCTCTTCATGTTGCAACAAGTTAATAAGACTGAATATATAGAAGGTATATTGTTAGTTAACAAGTTCTTCTACTGAATTAATAAGTATATGCATTAGTAAAAAAAACAAAGCTAGGTTTTCCGTAAGTCTACTTTATATACAAGTAAACAAAATTGAATATCCATAATGTATTATCAACAAATTCTTCTAGTAAATTTACAATTGTACATGTTACCGAAATAACATGTTATATTGGGTTTATAATATAAACCCAATATTGTGACAATTTAACAAGATTAACTATAGAGAAGATATTGTTAACAAATTTTATTAGTGAATTAAGAAATACACATTTGTGAAATAACAAGTTAGAGTTTTAAAAAGTTCATTTCATATTTTAAAAATTAAAAGGCATCATTAATTTTCTATCAAGACATATTTTCATTTCAGTCCTTTAGTCTATCAGTCCTGCAATATATTTTCAAATTTTATTGATCATGACTTGAAATTAAACCTTTACAAGAAATTCTTCCTTAAATTTATATCTTCGTTCAAGATTAAGCAATTCTCAAAGAGTTCAACGACTAAATTATTATTTTTTTAATTCACTATATTTTCCCATCCCAAAATTTTCTATGGTTACGTGGGACCTTCAAAACTCTTGCTTTTCCCCTAAATTGCAATCTATAAGCGTCAGAATAATTGTTGTCATGAATCATGATAGCAAAAGCTATATTTTTCGAGCTGAGTGGTTGAGCGGTTTGATTATTACGAAGTTAGGTGGGTTTCATTTTCATATATTATCCAACTAATTGAGATTGATTTTTGTATAATTTTTAAAACTTAACAAATACGCGCCAGATTTAAAGAAATTAAAATTTCAAATAATTTTTTGTACGCCAAGCCTTGATAAATGTATGGGCAAGGTATTGACAAAGTATTAAAAAACATATCGATAATTGAACTAGTCAAAATATTAGGACATAAATTTGTAATCTAACGAGAGTCAAACTGAGGTCAAATTGATATTATATGAACTAATTTATTTTTAATTTTACATAGATTTTTGCAAACAAAAAATTTTAAAAAGAATAAATTTACATAATAATAAGATAATATTAAAGTGACAGAAATAATTGTAAAATATAAACATATAATTAAATAGAAGTATAAATAAACTAGTGTACAATATTAAAGATACATCCTTTAGAAAAATAATAACTAGTTATAGATTTCAATATATGCTATGTCCATGAGTAATGAGAAATCGATATGTGTGTGGTGGTGGCAGAAAAAGTGTGTTGGGTAGAGCGAGGGAGATAATTATCATCTGACATCTTGTTTGAATAAAATAACAAAAATTCATAAATTTAAGATAATATTAAATCTTGATCCATTTCCTCCTTTCTATATGCTATTTTGCTCTGCCTCTCCGATTTCAAATGAAATCTGGCTCAGGCGAGGGACTTGGCTCTGAAATTTAACTATGGAAGGCAACATTGCGTTGCAAAGCTTTGGCAGATAGTGGGGCATGGGGTTTACAATAGAGTGTGGTCTGTGTTTCTCTGTTTTCTGTTTTCTCATTTCTGTTCTTTTTCTTTTCAGGTCTTCATTGTACCCTTCTTCCTTTTCGGTTCTTCTTCATTGTTTCAGCGACATTGCCTTCTTTTCTTGAATTGGAAATGTTTTTTTTTTTTTGTCATTTTTCCTTACTCATCTGAACCGGCCAACCCACTCGTTTGTTTGGGTTAATCTGATCCAAAAATACTGGTTTACTTGAATGACTAGACCGGCCAGGTGACCAGTTCACCAATTTACTGGTCCAATTGTTGATCTAATTTTTAATACCAAATTTGTCATTAAAATGGTTGAGACAATGATTTAAGGATTTGTGGTCTAACAATAGTTGAACTTATTAGATTAACCCAATCATAATTAAAATCATTGTTAAGAAAAATGAACTGGCCAATTGAACCAATTTAACTAGGAACTAGTACCTAGTGTAGTCTGAAACATGCAAATAAATGGATCACAAAAGAATCACCCTCCGATGAACTTGCCAAAATCCAATAAACCAGACCATGATTTAAGCCAGATTAGCCAAAAAAATATTTAAAACTAAAATTTAAAAAACTTGACTTTGAGCCCACCGCTTTTAGAAGGTGCATTAGTACAAAATAAAAATTTTACAATACACTTTCTACATCAATTGCAAATAAGCCTGCTTAATTGAAGATATCCATATGCATTTTGCAACTCATTTTGTGGAGAGTTTGTGAGTTTTGTATATATAGTTGATTGTAAAAATTTTTATTATTGCAATTTTTTAGTAGTATTGATACTTTTTAGATAAGCTTTTGGATACTTTTATATGAATCATGTTATGTAGTTATTAGTTTTGGATAATTAAATTACATTGTGATCCGTGCCAAAATTTTGATTATTGTAAATGAATTTTGATGTCTACCTATACCAATTTTTATGTACAGAAATGGATATTGTAAAAACAGATTCAATATAAAAAAAATTTTTAAATTGATTATTATCTTAACTAATATAATAAAATGTAATACTTTTTACATCAATTAAGGTGTATAACCGATGCAAAAAATGCCCTTTTATTTTATTTTTATTTTTTTGACATACTTTTTATGTTGATTATAGACCTAATGTAAAAAATGAGCTTTTTAAATCAATTATAGCGAGCACTCCCTATATTAACATCGTTTATCAAATCGATGTAAAAAGTAATTTTTAACCTTATGTTCTAGCGTTTCACCCAATTGAATTGTTTACGATTTTTACGTTGGACTCTCCTAATGAGAGAATCTCTAACTTCTCTCTATGAGAAGCTTTCTTCCAGTGTGTGTCCCTTTCATTCTTTCTGCATCCCTCACCCTATAGGTTTAATTGCTAATTCCTTTCTGTGTCTACCTACTCTTATCTCTTCTGGCTTTTTTCTTTCAAGTTTTAGCCTTAGTCATTCCTCGTGCCTCTTGCCTCTTCTCTTCTTCTTCTCTCTCTATTGGTTTTCCTTAACTATTGTTAATGTGGCTGCTCTAGCATATCTGATAGTGCCTTTCTTCTCCAATCATTCTTTGTTTTCTCTCTTAGGAATCAAGTCTTTCTACTCATTTCCTCTAGCTTTTGCTGTTCCTATTTTGATCTTTTTTACCTGCGCAACCCGTGCTTCCACTCGCCAATCTAAAGAAGTTGCTTACTTTAGTGGGTGTTTGATTGCCTTCCCTAATCCCTCTCTGCATTGAGTCATTTCAAATTCTGGATATGCTTCCCATTCTATATAAAGGGGATAGAGTACCCATCCTCCTTATTCCCTTCTTATGCTTTCTTGCCTTTGCACTTATCTCTGGTGTTTCTCTAATTTTCTTGTCAAGTTCTCTCCTTTTTCCCTTATGATCTTCTTTTCCCCTAGTTTAGTTTTACCTTCTTTAATGGATCACATTTTTCAACCCTCATTATGCTTCTGACTTCACACTTTTGCTAGACCAAGTTTCTCTTTGACCTCCTGTGCTATTGTGGATGCTTACATTTACTCTCTAAGATCTTTGGCAAGGAAGCTTAGAAAGGCTTGGATTCTTCAAGAAAACTTTAGAATAAAAGGGAGGATTGGCTATTTTTTCCTTGTAAGTTTTAACAACTTGAAAGATCGAGACTTTATTGTAGACAATAGGCCCTGGTCCATTAATAACTCATGGCTGGTTATTAATCGTTGGTATCCCAATATGTTTCTAAGGGAGATGGTTGTGGGATATATCCCTGTCTAGGTCCAGTTTTGGGGACTTCCTCTTGAGTATCACAATGAAATGGTGGCTAATACTTTGGGAGATATAGTAGGCTAAACAGTGTTTGTTCAAGATCATTCAGATTATTCGAGCTCCCTCAACTTTCTTTGTGTCCGTGTGTTGATTAATCCTCGATTACCCCTAATTTAATCTATCAGGGTAACTCTTGAAGCTGGGGTAACTTTTGATGTGGAATGCATTTACAAAAGAATTTTCAAGCACTCTCATTTCTATCGAATTATAAGAAGGTTTGGCTATCACTTTCAAATTTAGTTTTCTCAACATGGCAGAACTAGGTATAGAGTCTATGAAACCTTGCCTGAAAATATTCTTGTCAATGATACTGGCCCAAATCACTTTCTCTTCTATCTGGATGATGAGGACTGTTTTAACTCTGATCACCCAAGCGATATCCCTTATGAAGAAATGGCTAGTCCTGAGTTTCCATAACAGGACAATCACCCTTTTCCTTCTGTAGTCCCTCCTAATGATTAGACCCAAATCAATGAAACAGTGAATAATATGCTAGATAAGGATGTTATTGCTATTTATGATTAGTATGGCTCCTTCCTCAATAAGTCTATGAATTCGGGAATCTCAATCAAAGAAGGTAATCTTCCTCCTAATCCATCTGTTACTCCTTTATCTATTCATCTACCTCTTTTCTCAGATGAAAGGAACCTTTTGGAATCCTCCCCAATCATGAAGGACATTAATAGGAAGAGAAAAGTAGAAGAAGATGCTCATCAGGTGGCTTTATCTCCTCCTATAAATATTGCCTTTGCTGATAATCTGACTTGCCCGGATGCATCTCCTTACCATCACTCTAGCTTTATTGTTTCTTTTGGGTCTAAGATAAATAAAAAATGGAGATTGAATGA